CCTTAACAGAATATTGGCAAATAGAATTCAGCAATATATAAAAAGAATTATATGCAAGTGAGTTTATTTCAGGAATGTAAGGCTTGTTCAATATTTGAAAAGCAATCAATGTAATCCACCAATCAACAAATGAAAGAAAAAAATCACAGGATTATATAAATCAATGTAGAAAAAATTTTAATGAAATTCAACATTCATTCATGATAAAAATCCATAGGAAAATAGTAATAGAAGAGAACTATCTCAACTTAATAAATTGCATCTGTAAGAAAGCTATAGCTAGGCCGGGCTTGGTGGCTCATGCCTGTTATCCTAGCACTCTGGGAGGCCAAGGTGGGAGGATTGCTCAAGGTCAGGAGTTCAAAACCAGCCTGAGCAAGAGCGAGACCCTGTCTCTACTAAAAATAGAAAGAAATTATTCGGCCAACTAAAAATATATAGAAAAAATTAGCCAGGTATGGTGGATGGTGGTACATGCCCGTAGTCCCAGCTACTTGGGAGGCTGAGGCAGGAGGATTGCTTGAGCCCAGGAGTTTGAGGTTGCTGTGAGGTAGGCTGATGCCACAGCATTCTAGCCAGGGCAACCGAGTGAAACTCTATCTCAAATAAAAATTGAAAACAAAACTTTTATATAAAAAGATGGAAAAAAAGAAAAATAATAATAATTTTTAAAAAGCTACAACTAACATTATGCTTAATGATGAAAGACTGAATACTTACCCCCTAAGATATGAAACAACTCAGGGATGCCTGCCTTCACTCCTCTTATTCAACATAGTGCTGGGAGTTCTAGCCAGTGCAACAAGGCAAAGGAAATAAAGGGCATACTGAGCAGAAAATGATGAAATATGAAATAAAACTGTTTCTATTTGCAAATGGCATTGTTGTCTACATAGACTATTGCAAGGAATATGTTAAAAAAAAAAAAAATAAGACTCCTAAAACTAATAGGTAACTTTAGAAAGGTAACAGGATTCAAGATTAACATACAAAAATCCATTATTTTTATATATACTAGCAATAAACACTTGGATGGCTTAATTAAAAGTATAATACCACTTACAATTGCACACATAAAAAGCAAATACTTAGGTGTAAATCTAACGACACTTGTACAGTACTCGTGCTGAAAATGACACAATGCTAATCCAAGCAGTAATCAAAGAAGATCTAAATAAATAGACATACCATGTCCATGGACTAGACGAATCAAAACAGTAAAGATGTCAATTCCTCCAAATCATTATAGAGGTTTAAAGCAATTCTTGTCAAAATCTCAGAAAGACTTTTTGTAAATATAGATAAAATTATCCTAAAAATTACGTGGAAAAGCAAAGGAACTTGAATAGCTAAGACTACTTTGAAATAAAAGAATAAAATAAGAAGAATCAATCTACCTTATTCCAATACTTATTGTGTGGCTATAGTCACCAAGCCTGTGTGGTATTGATAAAGGAATAGAAACATAGATCAATGGAACAGAATAGGGAGCCGGGTACAGGCATACACAAACATGCTCAACTGATTTTGACAACAATGCAAAAGCAATTGAACAGAGGAAATACAGCCTTTCCAATAAATGGTGCTGGAGCAACTGGACATATATAGGTAAAAATAAATATATAAACTTAAACCCAAATGGCATACCTTATACAAAAATTAACTCAAAACTTAAATGTAAATCACAAAACTATATATAAACTTTCAGGGAAAAAATTGGAGAAAATCTTTGTGATCTAGAGCTAAGCAAAGAGTTCTTAGGTGACAGCAAAAACACCATCCAAAACATTAAAAAATGATAAATTTTCAGAGATTAAGGAATGAGTCAGGGAAGGAGGGATGTGTGTGTGTGTGTGTGTGTGTGTGTGTGTGTGTGTGTGTGTCTATATATGTCTATAAAAGGTCAACATGAGGGATCCTTGTGGTGATGGAAAAGTTCTTTACCTCAACTGTATCAATGTCAATATCCTGGTTGTGAAATTTTACTATAATTTTATAAGATATTGCTATTGAAGGAAATGGGGTAAGGAGTACATGGGATCTCTCAGTATTATTTCTTACATCTGCATAATTATCTCAAAGTTAAAGTTTAATTTAAAAAATTATAATTATTGCTTATAATTTGCATTTTTATTAATTTAACATATAGTTATAAATGCTTTTAAAAACTTATTAAGTAACGTACCTGAAAAATAATGTAAACTTTCATTTTTTAACATTTAATTCTCTTTATATCTTTGATGAAAATATACTCAGATGCCATTCTGATTATATCATTCCTTGGTTTAAAAATCCTTCCACAGCTCTCCAAGGCCTACAGGATCAAACTCTATACCTGGGCATAAAAGGCCAATCCTGGTCCAGATCCTTGCCCACCACCTGCACAGACCCCTTCACTGCCGCCCACCTGTACACACCCTTCTCTCTAACTCTTAATCACTTGAAGTTCCTCAATGTGCCTTGCTATTTCATGCCTGTCTGCCAACTCACCCTGCTCCACAAACACCCCAAAAATATCTTCATATCTTTGAAAACTCAGGTAAACCCACCTCCTCTAGGAGTTCTTACCTGTTCCTCCCCAAGGACCCAGCCCAGAGTGAATACGACATCCCTTTGGATCTGTCCTGTAACTTGTACATCGATCTTGGTACTTAACACTCAGTTGCCTGTGTGTCTTTTCCCCTCTTCTAATCTGTGAGTGCCTTGAGGCCAGTGACTGTATTACCCATCTTTGCATTTCCAGTACTTTGAATAGTGCCTGGCACTTATTAGGTGGTCAATAAACATTTGTGGAATGGTAGAGCATCCAGCTTAAATGATACCTCCAGTCTGTTGATTTCCATGTTCTCCCCTTTTCTCACCCTTCCCCCCTCCATATAATTATTAATTTCTTGCTCTCCTGAAGCCCCTTAACTTTATTCACAGGACTCATATGGAATACATATATCATCTTGCAATCAGCTGTGTGCGTGCTTGCCTAAGAGTTCCTCAAAGGTGGTCAGTCATCAAAGGACTAGAAATTGATTGATGAATGAATAAATGAGTGAATGACCGTGCAATACCTCATATAGTCCACAATGTTGGTTATTGTTTACCTTTTATACATACACACAGAGAAAGAGAGAGAGAAACAGGAGAGAGAGTAGGACAAAAAGACACATAAAAACCATATAACCCACAACAGGGAAGAGCTCTATGTAGCAGGAGCATAAACAAAAAAGAATGACAGCGTGGTTGGAATCATTGTACAGCTTTTGAGGATGGGGTTAGGTTTTAAAAATTGTTCTTTAGGACTGACAGAAGGAGGGAAGGTGTGAAATCTTCACATCGTTTCTGAGTTTAGAGAAGAACCCAGTGTGAGTCCTATTTTTCACATGCAGGGAAAAAAGAGACACAAAGATGTGCCAAAATCCTCAAATGGCACATTTCAGTTTCTCACACAATCCCGTTCTTGAGGGATTTACAATCTACTTTCAATTGTAATCATTCCAAACATTTGCCTTTAATACAATTTTGGAAGTTTAATGTAATAAGAAAATAACACATGGGAAAGAATGTGGGCTTTAGTTTTAGATGGGCCTGAGTTCAAGCCCCTGTTTGACCTTCTGTAGTTATAGCAACCTGCCATTTCTGAATCTGTTTCCTTAGCTGTAAAATGTGATGTTAGAGCATCTACCCCAGCTGGGTGTGAGAATTAAATAAGATAATGTATGTAAATTGTGAAGCATAATGCCTGACACATAGTAGGCCAATAAATTATAACTGTTCCTTCCCCTGTCAAAGGCACCAATCTCTGGATTATGACTTTCAAAACACCTTCACATAAAATATTTTTCTCATTTAAAGTGTATTAGAAACCAAAGTTATAACACCAGGAGAATACTTAAGAAAAGAATGATGTGCATAAAAAATGTTATGTTAGACACCCCGCAGGGCTCTCAGTAAATACTTGTTGACTGACAAATGCATTGTCGGAGCATAAAATCACATAGATGGAAAGAGATAACAGCATAAAAACGTAATTTGGAATCTGCACAGGATAATGATTATACTTTGATAAGTATTTTATTTTTTGAAAGCAACAGTAAGGGTAACTGGAAATCATTTGGAAAAGAAAATCAAGTTTTCTTTTACAGCCATAAGTTTATATGAACACTTATACACACCGTACATAAAATGCTGGCACCTTACTGGCAAAATTGCTAAACTGGAAGCAAAAGTGTTCCAGGTATGGAAGGAGATGTGTATTCATGACATCTGTGACCACTTTTTCCAAATAACCCAGTAAGCAGGAGACTTAGGCACCATATGCACCCGTATCTAAAGAGCCTGCTAGAACACATCCTAAAAGATCATCATCCTAAAGACAGGCTTTACCTAACAAAGTTTATTTAAGCTTCCAGGTACCATGCTTAACTCTGGGACACCAAGGTGGATGGATCATGATCCTAGTCCTCAGGTAGAGAGATAGACCTGTAAACAAATACTTGAAGATAGAAGATAGTGACTGGCTATATTGAAGATATGTGTGGGGCTCATGGGGCACAAAGAAAGGAGTGGTCTGTTTTACCTGAAGGATTCAGGAAACATTTTTCAGAGGTAGTAACAATTGAGTTGGACTTTAAAAGATAAGAAGCTTGCCATGCCAACAGAACAGGGCAGTCCCTGCAGGAAGAACCCCTTGGACAAAGCTCAAATAATGGAGGGAAATCAAGGAATTATGGGCAGCTCCATAAAAACTGGGACATTGATATGGTTTACATTATGTCTCTGTGTGTGTGTGTGTGTGTGTGTGTGTGTGTGTGTGTGTGTGTGTGTGTGTATTAGGTTATTAAGCATAAAATGTCCAGTTTCCTTAAGTACTAAGTTTGACAGTTGGTATCTCTGACATTTCACTTTGACACGTCTTGTTTTATTTCTATCATGAAGGTAAATCCTCAGTCTTTCAAATGCAAGTTTTGGCATTATTTTGTGATTATCTTTTTTTTTTAATTTAACAGTTTAATTGAGCAAAGAACCATTTGTGAATTGGGCAGCTCCTTGAACCAGAATAGCTTCAGAAAGGCTGAAGCTGCCACGTGATCAGAGAGGATTTATGGACAGAAATCATGTACAGAAAACAGAAGTGAGACGCCAAAGGAACCAGGTTGGTTACAGCTTGGCATTTGCCTTGTTTGAGCACCTTTTGAGCAGTTGGCCACCTATGAGTGATTGAAGTATGGCTGCTGCAATTGGCTGACGCTTGGCTACTTGTTACAAGAGTACTTACAGTCTCTGTATATATTCAGTTAGGCTATAGTTCACTACGTATGGATAAACAGTTAGGCTAGAGTTAAAATATATAAGGAGGCAGCTTTAGGCTAAACTTAATTTAACACTGATTTAGCCAAGCCATGTGTCTTTCAATTTATCTTTCACATTTTTTAGAGCAATTTTTGTGAAACTATGGATAAGTCAAAAATGCATGTTATTTTCAAATACAAGTTCTGTCTTGGAACTAGTGCAGCACAGACAGCTCGAAATATCAACGAAGTGTTTGGGAAGGATGTGGCTAATGAACTCACAGTACGTCAATGGTTTGAGGAGTACCATTCTGGTGATTTTAATCTTGAAAATGAGCCACATGGGTGACCTGAGACCAAAGTGGATAATGATGAGCTAAAAGCTGTAGTGGAAGTGAATCCATCTCGACCTACATGTGAATTAGCAGCAAGGTTTGATATTACTATTCCAACAAAATAGGACCATTTGAAACAAATCGGCAAGATAAAGTAGCTGGATAGATGGATACCGCATGAATGAAACGAGCATCAGAAGAGAAATTGTCTTGAAGCTTGCCTTTCTTTGTTTTCACGAATAAAGGCAAACCATTTCTACACAGTATTGTTACAGGTGATGAAAAATTGATTCTTTTTATATTATTTCAGAATATTATAGGGTACAAATGTTTTGGTTACATGGATTGCTTTCATACTGCTTGAGTCAAAGTTATAAATGTGCCCATCCCCCAGATAATATAATTGTACCTGGTAGGTATGATTTCACCCCATCCCCTTCTCCCCCTTCCACCTGCTTACTTCCATCTGTGCACATGAGTGCTGATCGGTTAGTTCCAATTTAATAGTGAGTACATGTGGTGTTTGTTTTTCCATTCCTGTAATACTTCATTTAGGAGAATGGTCTCCATTTCCATCCAGATTATTGCAAAAGGTATTAATTCAATTTTTATGGCAAAAGACATGAGTAGAAGCTTTTCAAAAGAAGATAGATTAATGGCCAATAAACGTATGAAAAATGCTCAACATCACTAATCATCAGGGAAATAGAAATGGATTATTTTTGACAATTGCAAGCATTTGGCACAATGGTTAGATAAAGATGAAGTGCCAAAATACAGTCCAAAACCAAATATTCATCAAACAAAGCTAATGGTGTCTATTTGGTGGTCCAGCACTGGTATTTTCCACTGCAGTTTCATGAAACCTGGTCAATTAAAGGGGAATTATCACAAGAATGGGAAAACACACACCACATGTACTATCAAATTGGTATTAACTGATCAACACCTAAGTGCACATATGGTAATAACATTCATCGAGTGTCAGATGGGGGGTGGGGGGAGGGTATGGGTATATTCATACCTAATGGGTGAGGTGCACACTGTCTGGGGAATGGACACGCTTGAAGCTCTGACTTGGGTAGGAAAAGGGCAATATATGTAACCTAAACATTTGTACCTCGTAATATACTGAAATAAAAAAATTACAAAAATTCAATTACAGGGGATGTCTACTGCAACAAATTGGATGAAATGATAAGGATGCTTGCAATTAAGCAGCTGAGATTGATCAATAGAGACAGGCCAATCCTCTTTCAAGATAATGCTCAACCACATGTCGCACAAACAACGCTGCTCAAACTACAGAGGCTAGATTTGGAAACTCTCTTGTCATCTGCCATATTCATCAGACTTTGCACCAATTGACTACCACTTCTTCCCGGCTTTGGACCACTTCTTGCAAGCAAATATATTCAATTCTCAACAAGCTGTGGAAAATGTCTTTCGTGATTTCATCGCCACTTGCTCTGCAGTCTTCTTTGCTGCTAACATAAATAAGCTACCTTTAAGATGGCAAAACTGTGTCAATAGTTTAATTGTACTTCTTCTTTTTTGAGATATAACAAACTATACTTTTGATTCGAAGTTGGACGTTTAACGACCTAATAGTATCTTCCATGTATAGTATAAACATATCGTAATAGACTTGTGCAATTGGCAGCAAATAATTGTTCCCATTTTGTTGATGAATGTCCCATAAACTTTCACTCTGTATTCTGTGATTTGCCTAATTACTCATCGGATTCATCTGATATTTCTGTATTAAACGCCTGAAGCGTAGTCAGTTACAGGTTTTCACAAGGTCCTCAGTCATCCACGCCTTCTCCTCATAGGTTCTTAAACTCTTGTGAGACAGGCCACCCACAGTTACGAAGACCCTGCAGAGGAATGGGTTAGAAGAGGGCTGAAGGACAGATAGACAGACACAACTTCCCAGTGTGGGCATCTCAAAGGCCCAACAAAATCATCCAATATCCTGGAGGAATAAGTATTTTGGAATTGTCAATAATATGATAAAACTATGAGCAGTACATGAGTCAGCTATGTACTTTGAGAAACCTAAGACATAGGTTCTTTATGGAATATTTTCCTTCAAGATAAAAACAAAAACAAAGACAATGTATGACAATTTGTGGGGGCCCCACATCACCCTAGGGCTTTGCACTGCTACAGATGATCTTACCTGCTGCAGAAATAACCCATGTGCTGCACATGGGCCTGCACTGCAGATGCCACCAAATGATCTCATCACTCAGTGTCTCACTGAACCTGAGAGAAGGGGATGAGTGAGATCGAAGAATGGAGTGAAACTAGTCATTGTGCACTGCGAACTAAGGCTGTTTTGGTGTCACTCTAGGCCCTATGATTGGTTAAAATTATCACTTTGAATGTCATCTACTCAATTTCATGTCCCAGACCTGCCACAAAGTGGTTATGTGACCCCTTCCCAAGGTCATGTAGTTTCTGTGGGCTTCTAATTTCTTTTCTGTAAAACGAAAAAAAATTGGCCAGATAACCTCCAAAGTCAGTTCCCATTCTGACAGTTTCTGATTCTTTCCTTACCCTACTTCTAGTTATCCCAAGCCTCTATCGGTTTTAGGAACCATTTAACTTGGACAACAAGAACTCTAACTCCTAATCCCCGTAGACACGAGCAGATTCTTGGCCTAAAGAGCATAACTCATTTGAAGTATCCTGGGGCACAGCTGGCCAGTGTCTTTGCCCGAACCTCGGGCAAATGTATGCTGGATGTGCGGCTGCCAAAACAATGTCTGCTGCCCCAAAGTGGCAACTTGGAGATCAAGATCTCACTCGCACTCTGTGGTTTCATTTCCTGCCCGGAAACAGAGCTCAGTGTTGCAGATGGGGCCCTTGAGATGACAAACTCTACTAAGACGTATTCTGTGTTCAGCATGGTTTCCTCTGTCGAGAGGTAGTTGGTAAACATCACAGAGCCTGTTGTCTTTGTGGGGTCAGGCAGAAAGCACAATTTGAGTAAATGCTACCTTGGATTCCTACTTCTGGATGAAATGAGTATGAAGTACCCCCTGGCATATGAAGAACACCCTTGTTGTGGTGTTCAGCAGGACTCCCTAGTCGTGGTTTCAGCCTCTGTGGGCCCCTCTGGGCTGGGGAGAGAAGAGCCCCCCCAAGTGTTCCAGCCAGTAAGCAGCAGGTGCAAGGAGCACAGCGGCCCTGGGCACCCCTCCAGGAGGACCACAGGGTTGCCCCAGGCCAAGACCCCCCCAGCTCAGCAGCACAGGGGCACTGCCTTCCACCAGGGTGAAGACTGTCTGTGCATTTGCACGGGCATATAGGACAGTGCCTAAAAACACAGATTATAAAGCCAGAGACCTGGACTCAGGTCTGGCCACTTACGACCTCTATCATTTAAGCTTTCCAAGCCTCAGCTTCCTCATCCATAAAATAATGTTAATAGGTAGAATCTAATCCTAAGGCTCATGTGAGGATTAAACAAAGCCATAAGGTACACTCTCTGGAGCACAGTGCTGTGCTGAGCCTCACCGGAGCCTGAGACAAATGGAAAGACCTGTAAAAATGATCCAGTCTCTATTTAAAAGTTTGATATTTAGTTCATCACGAAATTTTTGTATTAACTTTTATTTTTAAACTATTGCATTAAAATATTACTTATCTTGATTACTGAGAGGATTTTTTACACCCACACAACTACATAGCATAATTTAACAATTATCTAATGTCTTGTATTAGTCATTGTTTCAAGTTCTTATGTCCTGTTTTCCCAATTAATTTGTATACCTATTAAGGGCAAAAATTATGACACATGTCTTTTATCCCTAAAACTGCTGAGTGCATAGGAGGCTCAAGTACATTCTTGTCCAGTGATTGCATATAGCCCGTGGAAGGCAATTTACCACCCTACTATTCTCTAATTGCTGCATGTGTTTGAAGGTTTTGTTTCATCCTTGAGGGCAGGGATGACATCTGGCATTCATTCTGTCCTATGTCAGATATAAAGCTGAGGACACAGAATCAAAGACCTGGCAGAGACCTTTGAGTTCAGTTAATCCCAACTGCTCACTTTACAAATAAACTATCGGATGCTCAAAGAGGTTGCATCATGCAGCCAAGCCAATCAGTGATTGATCTGGGATGAGAATTCAGGTCTCCTGGGCTCTTTCGACTCCAGTATTTTGTTAATTTTCTTTGATCTGTCTGTCCCTTTTGAATATTAAGCACAGGAATTGAGAATGTAGGAAAAATTCAATAAATTACATAGACTATTTATTTCTGGAACTTGCGTAATCTTGCTTAAAGCTAGTATAAGAAGTCCTTGCCTGGAAAGGTGTACATGTATTTACTAACTATTCGCATATCCTAACTCAGTGTGGCAAATTAGTTTAGAGAATACTGGATTTGGAGTTAGCAGCTCTGACTTAAAGTCTTGGCTTTATTATTTCCTATCTATGTGATTTTAGATGAAATTTAGTTTTTAATTTAATTTTTCTCACCCAAATCATGAACATAATAATGGTATCTACCGTATAGTCATGAAAAATTACACACACAAAAAAAACTTATAAAGAATATAGTACACTGCCTCACACATAGTAAATTCTAAATAAATATTATCAATTATCACTATTCTAAAAGGAAACCCCCAAATTAGATGGACTATAAGGGCAGATGGATAGATTTATATGCATGTTTCTGTAATACCTACATTTTTGCATTACAGTAGATAAAGATTGGCAATGGAGAACTAAATTATGAGTCAAGCACTTACTATTATGCTATATCTATTCCATGAAGCCTGATAAATATCTCTTATTAGAGTTATTCTGTGGGATCTTGGTTCCATGTAACCATGTCAGGGACCCCCAGAATCCTAGCTCCTAAAATTTTACAGATTTCCAAAAGCACCAGGAGTCCAGGTGAGTAGAATACTTCTTTAAGGGACCTGTCATAGACTCAAGAATACCTAACAGTTCCATTTTTAGTTCTCTTTCAAGAGAAAATAAACTACGTTGGCAAGCATGCCAATCAATAAGCCGGAGCCCGGACAGATAATAAGACACACCATGACTTGGAATATTGCCAGCACAGGCCTGGTGCTGTGAACAATGAGAAACTCAGAGAAACCAATCGCACAGTTGAGTCCACACAGCACCTCACCTGCTTTTATTCTCTTTTGCTCTCCATACGAAGCAAGAGTCCAAGCCCAAACTTAGATGACTCCACAGGAAGATGAGAAGAGGAGGTCTTTGTGAAAAGTATCCTATGTTTTAAGACTTAGAACTAAAGTGGAAGAAAAACCTGGATGCTCCAAACTTACAAATAGAGACCACGGTTTTTGCATTTTTGCAGCATCTTTATTCTAAAATCTTCAAACCACTTCACCTTGTCTGGCATTAACATCCCAGTGAAGCACCTCACTGAGTCCGTCAATCTTTAAAAAGCACTTAATGTTCAAATCTCTTTAGTAGACAAAGAGGAAAAATTATAAATAAAAACCTCTTTTTCATCCTAAGCCAAACCCTCCATTGGCAATCTGAAAGTTTTCTTAAAATTCAAGGTTTTCCAAAAGCAATGTGGTATCCTAAATTGGATCCTAAAGCATAAAAACAAGAACATTAATGGATAAACTAATAAAATCCCCTAAAAGTCCATAGTTCAGTTAATAGTATTAAGCTAATTTCTTAGTTTTGACAAATGCACCATTGGTTACATTAAATGGCAACATTAGAGAAAGCTGAATGAAAGGCTGACAGGATCTCTGTATTTATTTTTGCAACTTCTCTGTAAATATAAAATTATGCCAGAGTTTATTTAATTATTTATTTTTAAAATAGCAAAAACTAGTAAGCCAAAGTTTCTTTGCTGAAGAGTCTTTATTTGGAGGGTGGGAGGGATGGGGATTATCATTCTCTCTCCTAGCGAAAAGTATATTAAAAGGAGAACCATCTCCAGCTTTTCACTAGAGGTGGAACAAAAGATGGTGGCCAACTGCTTTTCCCATCAAGGCTGGGCAGGCAGAGGGGATTGGAGCTGGGCTCTCCAGGGTGTGAACGGGGCTAAGAAACCTCCCACAAGCGTCATTTCGGGGAGGAAAGGAGACAATGGATGCGCAGTGCAGCACTCGACAGTGTCGGCCGGGCAAGGGCACCACAGGCAGCTCCCGTCAGCCCCCACCGGGGAAGCTCTCAGACACAGTCGCTCGGGGCGAAGGCAACTGCTTCTCCGTCTTGTCACGCGAGGTCCCCTGCATGCCCGGCCTCCGTGGAGCTTCTGGATGGCTTAGTGCCTGGACAGCAAGGGTGGCCTCTGGACCCGCTGCTAGAGGGCGGCTCACACTCGGCCGGGCTCAGCAGGGCCCTGGCAACAGCTCCGTGCTAGCACTGCTTTTTAAAGAACAGCCCCTCTCCTCACTCTGTTGGGGGAGGGAGACCAAAAACCCTACCACATACTGACTGAACTACTTTTCAGTGGAAAGAAAGAAGGGAACGTGAGCCACGAGCTGGGGCGGACCCAGCCCTGCTCCACGCGGTGCGGTGGCACTTCCTTTGCCACACCACACGATGGCTCCTTTCTAGAGCAACCCTTGCTCCCTTTGGCCTGGCCCAGCTTTAAGCATTGATACATCCCTACTGACTCACTGTCTTTTGCTTCAAGGAAACTCTTAAATTAAACCAGCCCTTGTCATTTTGTGGCAGTGTGGAGCCCATCTGTTCTTCCTGGCTTTATCTGGTCTCGTGGATATCTGGCGAAAGTGCCAAGTCTCGACGTCCTACCTCCATAAGGTTGCAAATTTTCTTAAATAATCTTTATTCCAAATATTCTGCTTTTTTGTTCCTAGAAACCATCCACGTGTGCCAGAAATTAAAAAATATTTCAGCATGTAAAGTGTTTTCACCCAGACAGTCTCATCTACCTAAAGATAGCCACACAGTCTGTGCTAGCCCATAGCCTTTCTTTAGAAGTGGCCAAGGTATACACTGGGGTCGTGGGTTCTGTCAAGGACTTTAGTCATGCTTTCTGGCCACTTAACATCTGAACCCGCTTCCTGTGTGTGGGGAGTCCTTCCGCCTGTGAGGAAGAGCTGACCTCCCTCGCTAGGGTTAGCAATGACAGATACTGGGTTCCCCAGCCTCCCTCGCAGCCAGAGGGCAGGCCCTCGCTGGGCTCCACCATTCAAATGCACCCAACCCAGACTTTAAATGAGAGACTAGTGAAACAAAAAAGCAAGAGTCACACAAAATCCACTCTGGCAGTGGGACAACTCCATTCAGCTTGCTCAAGTGCCAGTGGTAGCAGACGCAAGGGCAGTTTCCAGCATCTCCTGGCAGTGCGGCACTAGGAAAAGCTGTAGTATCTGTCCCCAGCAGGCCCAGCACTGGGTCCTCACCAGACAGTTCACCAGCACAATTTGAGTATTGTCTCTGGCTGCATAGCCCCTGGGTCTGCCCCTTGGACCTCTCTGGAAACTCTATGAGCCGGGTCCAGCTTCATAGCTGTGCAACGTGTGCTGTAACACGGGGCCCCGGGTTCAGCAGGGCCCTGTGCTTGGTTTAATGTTCTGCTGTTGCCATCTTGCAATTTTTAAATTTTTTTGGAACAAGAGACCTCACATTTTCATTTTGTTTGGGTCCTGAACATTATGTAGCCAATCCTGCTTTGAGCTAGCTAATAATAATAATAATAATAATAATAATAATAATAGGTCAGGGAGTTCTTAACCTTCTATGTGCATGAGTTGGGCTCATGGCTGGTGCAGCTGGTGGTCTGGTGAAGCCTAGGAAGCCTGAGAAGAATGTTTTTAAAAGCACAAAATAAAATACATAGAAACCAAATTATACTGAAATATAGCTAAAAATCTTAAAAAATAATACAAAAGCAAAAATAAATACTGGTGCATCAGCAAGAGAAATGGAGTTGTCCCCATTGCCAGAGTAGATATTGTGTGACTCTTGCTTTTTTTGTATCACTAGTTTCTGATATAAAGACACATGTGTGCCTTTTTGTATTAATCCATTAAATAAACCTAGTGATTTGTATTTTTGCATTAAATAAGTCTAACTTCCATTACTCAGAAATAGTAATGAACATGAACAATATTAGGAATGTCTGGGACAAGTGAAATATGACTTGAAAATATCTATGATTTCCAAAGATACCTGGTTTGTTGTACACTTTCCCAACTTAAGAAAATGCTAAACTCAGTGAAAGACTATTAAGACAAAAAGGGATCCAGTCACAGAGCCCCTAAACTTTAAGCAAGATAATCCAATTAAGATCCCTGATTTAAATAAATTTCTTTTCTGCTTATATCAGCCAAAGTTGTCATTTTGTGACTTACAACAAAGAACCCTATTGAATACAGGTATCCAACGTGAACCAGGTGCCAGGACCAGCCCTGGGTATTCCATGGTTCTCCACAGAAAACGAGCACATGTGATAGTCTTAGTGGCTCCAGGTGACTCAGAGATGCACCCAACGCAGCCCTGCCCTCAGCTGTTTGGCTCTTAGAGGAGAGAGAAAGTGTTTATGATGGCACTCAAGGATGCTGTCTGGAAAACATGTCACAAACACTACGTGTGTGGTGCGAACTGAGCAAGCAGGATGACCAGCTACTAATAACGGCTCTACACTGTGAGGAGGGAGATGAGACACAGTAGGACAAGCATTACCCCAAAGGCACAACAAGCTAACAGAATGATGAATATTTCCCTTCCTCCATTTCCCAAATCCTAGCCCAGGGTTCCTTATTCTAGCCTAGATCACCTTTGAGGTCTTACAACATGAGTTCTGTTTTATGTATATTTCATAGGAAATGTGATCAAAATACTCCTCCCCAGGTCCTGTTCTCCTGTTCCCCTTCCACTCCTCTTTTTGGGAGAGGGGAGCTCAAGAATCCTTTGGGGCGAAGGAAACATCTATCTTTTGGACACACATGAGAAGCTTGGGTCTAGCAAAAGTAGAAAAGGATCCATTTGCAGATACTTTGAACTTCTTGAAGTTGTTTCATATCCATTACTATACTTGAGTTCTAGGCATATATTTTTATCCCTATTTTATAGATGAGGAAACTGAGGTTCAGAGAAGTTGTGACTTGCTCACGGCCACAAGGCAAGGCAACAAAACTGGAAGAAAAACCCCGGTTTCTTGCCTCTTAGCTCAGGGTCCTTTCCTCCGGTCACACCTCTGCTATGAACACATCATACCACAGGGAAGGCTGCACCTGAAAGGGAAGTACATTCAAGCAGATCATCTAAAAACCAAGAAACACACACCCCAAATTCTGGAGAGCAGGTGTTGGCTAAGAGAGGAGAGTCTCAAAAAAGAAAAGAGATCACTGACTCCTCTGGCCCCTAATGGGGCTGATCAGATCCCTCTACACAGGGTAGAATCCACTTGGCCGGGGGCCAGCCCAGCGTCCACCCGCTTCCTGCCTGGGAGCTACGCTCTCAGGAGCGTAGGACAGCAGGAAAAGGGCTTCATGAACATAAAAATAAACAAACTCTCTATTTTTAGCAGGGCTGCAGCTGTGAGAGCGCCCTGCGTGCCGTGCAGCTGCAGCCTCGGAGGGAGCACGGCAAGGGGGTGGGGTGGGGGCGTAGGGACGGAGGCGCTGTGGCCACATTTTCCATTGCTGAGCTAATTGCCTGAGGCCACAGAAACCAATGTCCAGCCTGGAAGTCCCTGGAGTCTGCAGGTCTGGAAACACTGGAGAGCGTCCG